CGTATTCGTGTACTGCGACATTGGAGTAACCCTTAACTGTGTTGAAGACAAGTAGAAGAGAAAGATTTATTAATTAGTTGGAATCAACAACAATTGAACGAATAACAAAGATCACTGCAGGCGGATGGTGTCCGAGGAGTGGGAGACCACTGCAGAGGTCCACAACAGGTGCAGGGCGTAAGCCGGGAACCACAAAAGCTTTCTCCTCGAGCCACTGAGGCTCTTGTCAATGGGGCTCTGAGGCCTACTCACCGAGCCACTAAGGCTCTTCTTTCAGGCCACTTAGGCCAAATCATGAGCCACTAAGGCTCCTCTCTGACGAGCCACTGAGGCTCATTTTGCACGCCACAAAGGCTACCTCTCTTGAGCCTAGGCCCTCTTTCCTACGGGACGTACAGCTCCCAACAACCTCACCGATAAGGCACCACACAAATGCCACTGAAACAGTGCGACTTGACACAGGCACTCAGGAACCGCAGAGCTTTGGAACACCAGTTCTGGAACTGGAAGAGGAATACTGCATGAATATGACATGCAAGCAATAGCAAAATTGCTCGGCAACTTGTCATCACTTCATTGCCAACTATCAGCATCATTTTGCAAGTGGTAACAAAGAAAGACCACAGAGTTCAACAGAGTTTGAGCAAGGCATTTAATTTTCTTAGAGAATGACTGCACGATTAGTCATCGCTCAAAAGTAGGAAAGGTCACTTCGTGCATTGCTGTTGGCGAGTTATTTTTCCACGACTATATGAGATTCGCTGTTGTAATAGGTGCAATCATGATTATTAACATTCCGTTGAAGGTTGCCCCTTCATCAACATGGCAGGAAGCAAGGCAGGGCATCGCGGAGAAAACTGCACATCCATTCGACTGGACTTTCACTTCAAAGTATGCAGGAACTGTTCATGGATGCAAGGCGAGATATGCTCCCCTTTAAAATTTCTCAGTAAGATCGCTGAACGCTCTTCTATTACGTATTCACAGGTGGAGTCCACCGATTTAACCATCGATATGGAGCGCTTGAAACGACAAGAACCTATAGGATTTTATTCACAAATAACGCTATATGAGGATGAGTTAGCGGACCATGGCACCGCGCAGGTGAGCTCGTGTGCAGTCCTCGTTGTCCAATTAGATTTATTCCCTAATGGCAAAGCCTCTCTGTTCACTTCAAAGGCAATGAGTACGAAATTTGATTTTGATCATACTGAAATTAGGGGTCCAATGGTGCGACTAAAGAAAGAGGACAAAATTGTCAGAACTCTGAAAAAATGGCACTCTATTTCTCCCCAATGACTTTGACCAGTTTATGACTTGTGGTAGATACTAGCAATTTGGGTGAGGATGCCGATGTAATACAAGAGACGGAAGGATTAGAAGCTACAACCCTTTGCATTGAAGTGCACTCATGAAATGAGAATCCAACGGTAATCGTAACGGTATTAAATAGGTCAACCAGTCCAGTTAGGGACGAGGGTATGTGGAGGTGGGGCTAATTATCTGATGGTAGCGTCCGTATTTTTTCCAGTTCATGGCGCAAGGGGCCCTTATCGAAAGTGAGTGGAGGCCCGGGGTGAGACTTATTTTCACAGCTCGTATTGCCTTTGCCAAACCGAACCACTAGCTCAGTGACCGATCAGTAGCAGAGACTGAGCCAAACACAGCGCTGGTCCTCTCTACTGTTTTCCTTGCAATGGCGTCTATTTGAAGCGAGGGATTACGATGAGATTGAAATGCGTTAAAGCGGAAGTGAGGATGCTTGGGTGTCCCCCAACAGGCCCACCGCGCGGCGATGCAAGAGACG